CATGCTTGCAGACTAGACTCAGGCAAGAACTTTTAAGTATCTTGTGACCAGGCAACACTGGGTAATGTCACAATAATCTGTGCATGTGGCGTCTAAGTCTCAGAATCTGGATTCAATGATGAATGATTGACAGTCTCTGCCCCAGTCACTGTCACAGAACAGATAAGCACTCCTCTTGAGGATGATCAGAATATGCTGCCCCAGAATGTGTTGTGTTGGCTTTTCTTATTTCTATCTGACAGCAATAGAGAATCAACAGATACGGAAAGAAGACTTCCCAAAGAGTTCCTTATCTGACTGACAGCAGAAACTTGGGAGAAACAAAGACTGCTATAAATCCCTTCTCCCCAGGAGTTATGGCCACAGAGATGAAAGGCTGGCTGAGCTGAGTCTGCAGAAACAAACGCTATGAAAATAACTCTCACCTTCCATTGGTTTCCCATATACTGACCTTCCCGCAATTACCACCCTGAAAGGCTTTAACACCTGCTTCCTTTGTCTCCTCACTGCTCCAGAATTTATGATCCTTTGATAAAATGATCTATGAGCTTACTCTCTCACTATTTCTTTGGATTATCCCCCTCTTATCTGTGAAGCCCCTATGCACATAAAAATATAAACATCAATGAGGAAGCAGATCCCTTTTCTCCTATTAACCTGTCATCTGTTAGTGTAATTCACAGTTCTCCAGTCATGGAATCTGAGAAGGCAGAGGAAAAGCATTTTTCCTCCCCTACAGAGATCTATATACATTAAAAAGCAGAAAAAAGAGTGTGTTCCTTTGAAGAGATGAGGGGGAAAAAGGCCAGGAACAGATTCATAGAGGTGGGAGGAGATGCCCGTGATGTGTCGTGAGGAAAAACTAAGCATTGGCCAAGTGAGGAAAATTCAAGGCAGAGAGAACAACAAGGGTAAGGCACAGAAATAGGAACAGCAAGTTTTTCCATGTGGTAGAGAGTGGACCATGTGTTGAGTAGCCTCTTGCAGGGATGTGAGAGCCATGGTCAAGGAGCTTGGATTTTATTCAGAAGGTAATAGAAGAGACATCAATGGGCAATAAAGTTTAGAAGAATGTAAAGAAACACTTCAGCTCCTGTCCATACTTTCATGAAACTGTACTATGGTTTGGCGTGTGTGCTGAGACCACAGGATTAGGCCACATCCTTTTAGACAAGGGCTATGGTTGTTCCTGAAGAGAGCACAGCTTCCCTCTGGGAAGACTGAGGTTCTAGCACAGGAAAGGAGGACTTAGAGGCTTATAATGAGATCTAAGAGAAAGATCTCCAGGAATCTTGGAGGCACTCCCCTCAAGAAGACATGTGGTCCTCTGCTATTACGGTGCAGCCGCGAGGAGTAGCAAGGCTCCTATTGGGTATATGTTGTGATTTTTTTTATGACATGTCACCAAATGTTTGTTCACCCAAGATGGAACACTGAGAATAGACCAAAAAACAAGCCCACCCAAGATTGACTTATGGAACCAGTGAATTTACTGGTGTTATTTACAGTAGCATGGGTGACTCGGAGGCAGCTACATCACTGAAAAGCATTAAATGATGATTCTCAAAAGCTGTATCTCTGGATCTCCCTGCACAGATCTAAAAATCCATGTCTCCTCCTTCCAGAGGTTGCTAGGGCTTAAATAATCTTGGGGGGGGAGGGGGGGGCTTTGTGAATCCCATAAGTTTTATAAATTTCCTGAGACTTGTGAGTTGTTTACTTCCTGGCTCTTCAGAATTTTTGTTTATTTCCTGATTCTTAAAGCAGCTCCCATCAGGGTAGACTGTTTAAATTCAGAAAAAAATTATTGAATGTGTTAATTATTTTGACATTGCATTGTCAACATATCCTACAGAAAAATTTAATTTCATTCATGTTTTCAAATCATTTTAGTAGGTGTGGTAGCTTGACAGTATTAGGCCACCACAAGCTCATAAGAAATTGCACTATTTAATGCTTTATTTTATGAGTTTCCTTAATTATGGTATCTTTTCACAGCAAGAGAACACTAAGACATGGTCATAGCAGGAAAGAGAAAGAAGCTCAGCTTATGGTAGTGGGAGTATATGGCAGTATCTGGTTCACATCATAGCCGGCCAAGTGTAATAGTTTGAATAAGAATGACTTCCACAGGTTCATATGTTTGAATGCACAGTCGCTACTTGAGGAGTGGTAGGAGGTGTGGCCTTGTTGAAGGAAGTGTATCACTGGAGTGTGTTTGAGGTTTCAAAAGCCCATGCTCCCCGCTTGCAAGTGTATGTGCTAGTGTGCCCTCTGTTTGTCTGCAGATCAGGGTGTAGCTCTCAGTTTCTCCAGCGCTATGCTTGCCTTCTGTAACTATAAGCAATCCTCTATTAAATGTTTCCTTTTATAAGGTCACAGTGTCTCCTCACTGCAATGTAGCAGTGACAAACACACCAAGAAACAAACAAAAAAAAAACCCAACAGGAGTGAAGGGTCAGATATCATTACAACTCACTCCTAGTGACCCACATCCCTCAGCTAGAACCCACCTCCTAAAAGTTCCACAGAATCTCAAGATACCACTGCTATCTGGGGAACAATCATTCAAAACATGATCCTACGAAGGAAATTTAAGTTTCAAACTTTATCACCAAGCATCTTTAGTAACAAATACAAAGTTTCTTACAATGTCCTCCTGTTTTTCCCATAGACAAAGAATTGCTTTTGTAGTATTTGCACATTGGTCCTCGTTCCAGCTATACACAGGCTCTATATCCCAAAGAGGAACTAGGGAAATAGAGCAATAAAAGCCAGTGGAGCTAGCATACACACATGATAGATGTCTAAGGAAAGGCTGATCTCAGGGACAGTCAACCTGCTACAGTTCCAAAAGAAACTTATCCAAATCCAGTAGATAGACTGATGACATTTTATCAAGGAAATCTAGGGTATATGCAAAGACTGTAGAGGCATGAGTGGAGGTTAGAACTCCCTATGAGGATTTATACCTAGTTAGGAAATTACAACAACCTAAGAGGGTAGGTATGGAAAGGAGAGGGAAGGGAAGGAGAGGGTAGGGAAGGGAAAGGGAAGGAAGAGGAAGGAAAAGGAGAGGAGAGGAGAGGAAAGGAAAGGAAAGGAAAGGAAAGGAAAGGAAAGGGGACAGTCAGCAGACAGACTCCATGAGATATAATCAAATGGACCAGCTGCGTAGAGCAGGGGTGGAGTATTCTTGCAAACAAGAATAAAGAGAGCTTGCCTACAAAGCAGCAAAAAAAAAAAAAAAAAAAAAAAAAAAAAAAGCTCCTGAAGAACTTTGGTGAAAAAGAATGAAGGCTGGGCTGGAGAGATGACTCAGTGATTAAGAACACTGTTTTATCTTCTAGAGGATCTGGGATCAATTCCCAGCAGCCACATGGCCATTCACATCTGTAACTACAGTTCCAGGGGGTCTTATGCCCTCTTCTGGTCTCTGCAGGCACTAGGCATGTATATGGCACACAGACATACATGTAAGCAAAGCACCCATACACATAAAAACTTAAATTAAGAATAATGACAGTATTAGGCTAACTGGGATACACCTGTTATAATTCCTAGTGTTAGTCTTGAAGTGTTAAGAATACAAAAAGGACAAAAAGAACTCCCCTCCTCTGGAAAATGAAGACAGAGACTTCCACAGCAGTGTATCTGCCAGACCTCAGCTTGCAACTGAGTATATGTTTAATAAACAAACAGAAGAAAAAGGAAGAAAAGTACAGTAGCCAACAAAAATGTAAAATCTGGCAGAATTAGCCTGACCATGACATCAGTCCTTCCCTAACTCTCTGCTCTTTCTGCCTAACTTCCAGTGCACTTGAGGGCATATTTCTCTGTTTGTTCTCTTTGATCTCCTTTATGATTTTTTTTTACTTATTAGAGATGTCTCAACTTTGTTTAATCTACACTGCTTTGTTCATGAGGACTACATGCTCCATGCCATATAACAGGCTTCATTTATACACAAAGAAATTGAAGTACAGAAGGGCCATGAATCAAGGGGAAATTAATTCACCCCATCACCTGTCTGGTTCCAAAACCCGTGCATTTTCTGCTGTGAAAGCAGACTTGGAATCTGCATCAACTTCTTAGTAGTCAATAGTTTTCTCATTCTCAGTCTCATCATCTGCTCAATATACTACAGGGACCGATGCACAAGCTGCCTGCAAGCTGAGTGAGACGAGGCACACAAAGAATGTGGTACACCCTCGGGCACAGAACCTGACTGTCCAATTAGTGTTGGTTATCACGAGGAGCAAATGACAGGTCCTAAAGATCACACATCCTAATTCTCGGACGCTATGGATGGTCTAGTTTACACGGCAAAAGGGACTTTGCTTTAATGATTATCTTGAGGACACTGTTATGATGCCAAATTATTCCTGATACAGAGGGGCCTAATGTGATCTCAGAGTTCCTTAATAAGTAGAGAAAGAAGAGAGTCAGGGAAAAAGATGTGAAGACAGAGAAGACTAGGAGACACTTCAATATGACTAACTCCAAATAAAAAGAAAATGACCTTGAGGAGAGCAGGCAGACAAACACAGGCTGAAATGGGAGAGAAAACTGGGTTGTCCCCTAACATCTCCAGGAACAACACAGGAGGCTCAGACAGCCCGAGCTGCCTGAAAGAGATACTCTCCAAACTCTCCAACCTGTTGAGCTTCCAGCAAGCAGTGGGCTTCAGTTTCTAGCTTTCATGAACTGTTGCCCATGCTGGGGCTGGTGGCTGTTTCTGAGTCATTTCAGTAACCCTTTACCCATATTCCTTTAAGAAACCTCAGCAAAACTCATTGTTTAACAAAGCTGGACTTTTGATGGAGGAAGGTCATTGGCTAATAAAGGCACTGCCCTGGCCCATTTTATTGGTTAGAGGATAGGTGGGAGGAGTAAACAGAACAGAACGCTGGGAGGAAGACGAAGTGAGCTCAGAGACTCGACAGCTCTCCTCTGGGGAGCAGACGCCTGAGAGAGACGCCATGCCCCGCTCCCGGGATGAAGCTCCGACCCATGATGGACATAGGCTAGAATCTCCCTGGTAAGCTCACCTTGGGGTGCTACACACAGATGATTAGAAATGGGCTAAATTAATATGTGAGAATTAGCCTAGAAGAGAATGGGCCAAGCAGTCTTTAAATGAATACAGTTTGTGTGTAATTATTTCGGGGCATAAGCTAGCCAGGCAGGCAGCCGGGGTGCTGGGGACGCAGCCCCGCCGCTCCTATTACTACAGACTTTGACCCTTGGTCTGTTGTCATTTCCCTATCTGGGTTGAGAAAATATTTGTATATATATCCTCAGTAATAGTATCACATAGACTTACACCAGTAAGCTGCATACCTAGAAATGGTTGAAACAGAAAGACTTACAGCATGTTAATATTCCATAATTATGAAGACAGAAAGCAAAAAGGACTTCCTTAGACTGAACTCTATGGTAACTACAGTCAAAGTCCCTGAATAGGCAGCAAGAAGTAGACATGAACTTGTTGAACTTTAAAATGTGTGTGTTGTTGCAATGATGGTGCATTTTAAGGACACAGGCAGCTTTAGCTTTTGTAATCTCTTCTTCAGACTCAAGTATTTTGCCACAGTGAACACTCTTGGTGTCAAATCCTACTGCCTACTAGAATTCCAAGGAAAAAGAAAAAGCTACTAAAGAAAGACGGAAGCTTGGGATTCTACTTCTTGATAACCATGTTGTGTGAATTTTTAATCACTTCAACAATAGAAGGTACAAGTAAGACACCATCAATATACCAAGTCTTACATTCACATTGCATTCTGTACTTGCAAGCTTTTATGGGAGCCTACACTACAATTCTCAAGACAACCTACAGTGGTTTGAGCATCAAATGTCTCCCACAGACTCATGTGCTGAATACTTAGTCCCTGCATAGTGACACCATTTTTGGAAGGTTGTAGAGCCTTTAGGAGGTGGAGTCTCACTGAAGGAAGGGCCTTACTGTTTGATAGCCTAGCCCGACTTCCTGCTCAATCCTTTGTAGAATGATTAATAAAAACCCAGAGACAGAAACTGGGGTTCAACCTGAAGATCAGGAAAGCAAAACAACCAGTCACAGGCCCTTACCTCGATCTCAGTCCGAAATGACGATCCTGCCTCCAGGAATCTCGGAATGAGACTGTGAGCGAGAGTCTCCTCCCGTCTTACATTCCTCTCTAGTGCTGGGATTAAAGGCATGCACCACCATCGCCCAGTTTCTATGGCAAACTAGCGTAGATACTAGGATTAAAGGTGTTTGTCACCACTGCCTGGTCTGTAATGATCAGTGTGGTTGTTTTACTCTCTGAATGTCAGGCAGGCTTTATTTATTAAAATCCAAATGAAATATCACTACACTCCTTGCTTTCTGACCGTGGTCATATGACACTACCTCACACTCCTGCAGCATAACTTCCCCACCATGAAGGACTGTCGCTTCTTAAACTGTAACGTAAGTCAAAGCAAATCCTGCTTCCTTTCAGTGACTCTGGTCACATGTTTGGTCCAGAAAAAAAAAGTGACGAATAAATAAGGTTAAAGTAGGAATCATTTGTAACCAGGGCTTTGCAATAGCTGACACCATGGGGTCTAGGAAGTGCGGGGACTGAGTCTGGTCTCAGGTCAGGAAGTCCAGAGACTCTCCTCTGCCTCGATCATAACGAGTACTTTGTGGATTATGTTTTCATTTAGTCTCAGGACACTGTTCTCTCCGGAGTTGGGGTAATATAACAATTGCGCCAACTGAAAGTGCTTTGGAGCAGATGATAGCCATATATCACAAGGCTTAGCATAACATTGGAGCGCAGGCAGTTTGTTCGCAGGCGAAGCAGGCAGCTTTTCTGCATAATACAGCAGTGCAGCTGGTAATAGTAGAAGCTGAAATAAAAGATGGCGTTCAGGGGGTGGGAGCCTCATTTATGGACAAGGGAGGAGACCCTAATGAAATAGCATTTTTGGCCCTATCATCATCCTCCTGAGAAAATTCCCCGTGAGGTTTTCCATTTGAATCCTGGGCATATTTATGAAGATCAAAGTAATGGCTCTTTAAAATTAATTACATGAATTTGTAGCTCAACAACATTGAGTGAAAGACGGATGTTGTACCCCATGCCTTGTTACAGCTGTACATCACATGCATCAAAAGCCTGGGACTCTGGGGAAAGCAAAGTCCCCTCTACACCAGCCCCCAAGCAGACGGGACAGACGTGGAAAGGGTACAAAAGATCAGTCCCCAAAGTTGTTGTGACAGCTTAATTGTATTATGGTGCTTAGATAATTCCCATTTATTTGGCTTTTTCCTCAGCTCCAATGCTGGCCCCCCAAGCATAGCTATTACCAGGAAAATTAAGATTCACAACTTTAATGGGTCCGCTTGCTCTCCCTAATGCTGTCCCTGCTCAAAAGTCCTGGTAATTGTTCCACGCTGATCAGGACTTCCCCCCAGCCCACAGCATGCTGAGACCCGACAGCAACTAACTAATTGCAATTAAAATCTCCCACGTGAGTGGAAGAGAATAACATAAATTAATCAGTACATTAGCAGAATTACATTTAAATGTTCAAATGTGCATCCAACATAGTGGGGCATTTTAAATTATAAAGCAAAGTACTTCATTACGGATGCTGATATTTTAATGAGGAAATGTGATGTTTGGTTAAATGGGAGTACAATATAGAAACTTCCTTAAAATTAGCATCAATGATGCATTTTAATTCGAGAAACAAGTTGTGGACTGAGTAATTCCTGCAAATCAATGTGGAAAAAATTGCCTGGAGCTATGGAGACAGTTGATCATCTCACTCTCTGAAGAATTAATAATTTCAGCTGTACTAACTAGCATTTTATGTAAATTGTCAGATAAATCACGGCTATAAATACAGGTTTTTCAAGATAAAACAGTATGCTTTTCCTTAATTTATTCAGTCATTAATCCATGTATACTGAGACTATGGGATATAAAAAATTCAACATCCAGGCCAATAAATAAATAAATAAAAGGAAAAAAAGAAAAGAATGTCTTCTCTGGTGTCATGGAGACCCTAGAGGGGGAATAAAAGTCCCATCTAATATCATCAAAATTGTATGTGGGAAAACATGGACATAAATATAAAAATCATGTTATGAGTTAAAAAAGATTGGCTCAGTGGGTAAGAGAGATCGCTGCCTAACTCCTGTGATACCTGCACCACCCACATGGTGGAAGGAGAGAACCAACATTTACAAGATGTCCTTGAACCACCGCGCGCGCGCACACACACACACACACACACACACACACACACACACAAATACAAACATAAATAAATGTTTTTTAAAGAATTGGTCTCTCTAAGCAAACCCTTCACCAGGGATCCCTCTCACTCCCTGCTGTTTGCCCTGCTGAAGCAGCCTCCCCCTCTTGGTGTCTCTGTGACATGCACCGTTGCTCTACACCAGATGGCAGAAGTCTATCTTCTCCTGGGTGATTTAGGGCATAGCTTGGCACCCTGATGTGTGTAAAGATACCTGCTCGCCTATTTGCACACTCGTGGACACTGCTGGGTTCTGCGTGAACCTGCTGGTCCTGATAAACAGATAGGTAAGAAACCCTCTCACTCTTCTGTTTTGGGAAAGGACTGCCTGCAAAGATGCTTCCTTTTCTCCAGACATGGCCAGCACTCAGTGATGTGCTTCCTATGCCTCTCTACAAGATTAGACATCAACCTGCCACATCCCACTACTGGTCTCAAAAAACAAAAAAAAAAAAAAAACAAAGAAAAGAAACCAGTATTCTGGATCTGGATCATGATGTAGGACTCCGAGGAAACAATAACAGTCAGCTGCCGCCCCACCTGTCATCACAGAGCAATTGGAACAAGATATTTAACCAAGTTCGGACTAAACATTCACTCTTCCCAACTCCCTGAACCTGGTACCCCCTCACTATGGAGCACATAGGCTTGAGAAGAGACCAGCCATGTAGTAGAATATTCTCTGATACTCTGTACTGCTTCTGCCCACATGGTTTCCAACCTTGTGATGCCTGCAGGCCTGAGGACAGCGCACTATCCCTGTTACAGGATTCTCTCCCCATTACCACAGCCTTTAAGCAAAATCTCTAAAGTGCATATGTGTTTCCCATCAGGCACCACCAGGGGCTAATGGTCTCTGAGTGTGACTCTGAGAATTATGGAGATCTATGCAAAGGCATCTCATTATATCTCGAATTAATCATGTTGAATCCCAGAGAAAACTGAAAAGACAGACGACAACGTGACTCTTTATGTCTATTTTGTTCACATGTCTTGGGCCTCATGAGGCCCAGGTATGAGGCCCAGTGTAACTTCCTGAGCCTAGGTCGAGTCTGGAGACCTGTCTCTGGCTCCTGACCTAGGCCTACCTCTGCCCAACCACCGCTGATGTGGTGGAATATTATTGGCCCTTATTCCTTGCTCTGCCTTGGCCCATCCCAGGCTTCTCCACCCACATCACAACTTTCATACCAATAAATGAGTTCCTGCTTCAATGGACTTCTGAGTCAGTGGGTGTGTTTCTCCCCAGTGCCGGGGGCAGGAGGGGGAGGGCTGAGTTGTGACACTCATCATCCCATTCAACCCCAGGGAGAGTCAGTCAGGTCCAGCTCTACTCCTCTGCCAAAGAACCCAGCACACATGTATGTGAATACAGTGCCTGCAGATGCTCTGGAACTGGAATTACAGATAGTTGTAAGTCTCCATGGAGTTGCTGGGAACCAAAGTTGGTCCTCCAGAAGAGCAGCCAGTGTTGCTTACTTCTGAGTTATCCCTGCTGATCCCACACTGTGAATTTTAAAATTACTCTCACAGTAAAACATTTATCTTTTTGTAGCCTGCAAACAGCAAACTAGGCCAAAGCCTAGTTTGAACATAGCAGTAGACAAGAATCGACCCACCTGTCCCCTCCACATGTCCTGTCAGGATAATAATAAAGAACAGGAAGGGATGTGGGCTCAATGAGGCTCCAACCGTTACTATGAAATACTGAGGGAAAGGGAGGAGCAACAATAGTTACAAAGCCAACATTTCTGGGTGGAGTAAAGTCACCACACTGCTTGCACTTGGGTCTTAGTTACTTTTCTCACTGCTGAAACAAAACATTTAATTGAAAGTAGCTTAAGGAAAGAGCAGTTCATCTTAGCTCATGATCTGAAGATACTGTCCATCATGGCAGGGAAGTCATTTTTAAAACACACTGTGTCTCAGTTAGAGGTCTTCTTCTTCTGAATCTGTCTTTATTGTGTATCTGTAATTATGTTCTGACCAGAAGCATTTTTTTTAAAATGCTAAGTGCTTCTAAGGCTGCTTTGTCTTTTGGCTCCACCCAGTCCAACATGACGGGGCAGAGGTCTGTTTAGTGTGAGCCATGCTCACAGCCCAATTTTTGGGCACACAGGTGGGCTATGTTGCCATTAAGCAAGTTGTAGCAGTCTGTTCACAAAGCCCATTTAAATGCTCTGCCTCCTGAAAGAGCCAGAGGTCATGCTGGCAACATGACCCAGAAAGCCAGCATTTCAAAATGGCACAGCTTTTTTTTTTCTGCTATCACTGAATCAGGAAGACCTCTCTTAAAGCAGCTGTGGTACACCGCCAGCAAAATGCTGGCTACCAAGAAGTTGGACTTAACTCTGTTCTTTTGTGTCTAAAATTACTTTTTAAGCTTTCCCAGATTTAACATGGACACAGTTGACCACATTGGCTCGCCAATTTGTAGTAGGGAGACCACATGTTTGTTTCCAGCCTGCCCAGCAGCTCAGACCCAAAATAATCACACAGAAATTTTATTATTTGCAATACCATTTGGCCAATAGCTTAAGCATATTTCTGGCTAACTCATACCTTAAATTAATCCATCTCCATTAATCTGTGTATTGTCATGTGGTTGTGGCTTACCAGGTAAAGTTCTGTCCCATGTCTGTCTCCAGCAGGCTACATGGCTTCTCCTCAAATCTGCCTTCCTTCTCCCAGCATTCAGTTTAGTTTTTCCCACCTATCTGTTCTACCCTGTCAGGTCAATTCAGCTTTCTTTATTTATTAATGGTAATCACAGCATGCAGAGGGGAATCTCACATCATTTATAGCCTGGCCCCACTTCCTTCTCTTTGTTTCCAGTGTTTGGATAAACTATAAGTTCTCTGCTTCCTGACTGCCAGGCTGACCTCACACTCCTGAAACCATGCCTTCTTCACTATAATAGAGTCTATCCTTGCTGTAACTGTCAACTAAAATAAAGCCCTTTCTCCTCTAACTTGCCTCAGGTTGTCCTGGCATTTTATCACAGCTACAGAAAGAAGCTCATATAAGCTAGAGGCAAACAAACTAAGGAATGAGAAGCATTTTGTTGTCTTGGGAACAGGACCATCACACCCACTTTCCAATAAAGTCATAATACTTTGTGTTTCTAGTGTTACCTCTAAGCTTTTTTGTTACTCAGATATGAGTCCCAAACTCTCAAAAGATGACGATCATGAAGACTGCCTGTTGTTCTAACAGATTTGCAAGGATGGAGTGTGCCATACCATATGGATGTTCCTGTGGGGGAAGGGTAAGTAAAGAAAGACTATGGAGCAGGGCTTAACAGAGGCCTTTTCTGTTGTTCCTGCAAGAATAAACAGTCAAGGCAGGTAGACAAACTGGGAAATGGTCGTTTGAGCAATTCCAATGGCATCTGGTAGAACAGTTGTCCCTAGTCGTCCTGATGCGGGCAGATAGATAATGACATGAAAGAGATGAGGTCAGTGAAGATGTTTGGGTCTGAGCTCCATAGCCACTGATTTTCATATGAATGGAAGAATTAGCTAAGCAGGAGGATCTAAGATGTCAAAGCATCAAATGCAGAAAGTTAGGGGAAAAAAAAGATCACGGCCAATTCAGATGTCTAAATTCTTAGTGATTTGTTCTCATGACTAAGCAGGGTGATGGAGGTGCTGGTCGAGTTGTGTGTCGCTGTAACCAAATAGCCAACAGGAAGAATTTCACAGAGGGAAGGTTTACGTTGGAGACAGTTTCAGTCAGAGGGAAGATATAGAGGTACAGACAGGCCTTCAGTGACCTACATCCTTCAACTGTACCCCACCTCCTATCTTTTACTCCTTCTCAATCATTCCATCATATCTAGAAAACATTAAGAAATTAATGTACTTACTAGATGAGAGTCCTCATGACTGAATAGTCTCTGAAAACTCATGTTGAGACCCAGAGAGTACTTTGCTAACCTGGGTATTTCTTAAGATGAATCAAGTTGACAAACTTGTCATCATGGTAAGCAAATCTGAAGACAGAGGGATGGTTGTCTGAGGGTGGAGGTGAGAACCAGGCAAGAAAGGATAAAGGTCCAATCTTTGCAGATCAGATACTATAGCTGCATCCTAAGAACACGCTGGGGACCCATAGGGACCAGAAGCTATGCATGGGAGAAACATGCAGTACAGACAGGGACTGCTGTAGATGCCCAAGCCTGAGTGACCAGAACTCATCTCATTGCAATAAGAAAGAAGGTCAAATAGTAAGAGTTAGCACCTTTCAGATTTTCAACAGCTCAGCAATGGTATAAGATGTGTCCTGTTTATTAAATCAACACTGTAAAAACCATGAAGTCAAAAGGAGAGATTCATTCCACACATCACATAAGACAGGAGACTTTCTATTTTCATAAGTGTCTTCTGCAAACTTTAGGACAGACTAGAGAGATCACAATGAAATTTAAGGTCCACCTACAGGCTACGAGGCTGAACTTAAAATGCTCATCCCTAGAATTTAAACTTTGTTTTGGTTTGCTTTTTGAGACAGGGTTTCTCTGTGTGATGGCCATGGCTGTTCCACCACCACCTGGCAACATCTTTTTATTTAAATATTCTTTACTTACTGAACTGGAAAATTGCTAGTGTCCTGAATAAATGTTCCTCCCTCAGCATATCACTGAAACAGGAACACGTATCCTTCTGTGGTGGATTCCTCTCACTTCTCCTCTTCCTCTAGTTGTGAGTTTCTGTGCGGCAGCAAGAGCTTACCAGAAGACAGGAGTAAAGGACAGGTGGACCCTTCCCTGCTTCAGTAGCCTGAAGTAAATAAGTAAATACATCTCACCACCTTCAAAGACACCAATGCTACCTTTCTTTGACTGTGTGTGTCTGTGTGTGTGTGTGTGTGTGTGTGTGTGTGTGTGTGTGTGTACATATATATTGAATGGCTTGGTTGATTCACTTCAACCAATTTCATATTCATTCAATTTTATATATAAACACAATGACACCCCCTTCTTAACTGTCACAAAAATCCTGCATGCAAGCTACAGATCATGAATTAAGCCTTCTGAATAAAATATCAGGAGAAGGCTGCCTGTTAGGTTGTGCCAGACTGATATAAGATGGCCACACAACCTCTTGAAGAACACCTGAAATCCAGCAGAGCAGAAAATAATTGAATAAATGGAAGTGAAGGGGAAATTTTGCATGTGCTGGCATCCTTTTCCTTATAGGAGGTGTAGGAGGAAAGGCCTTTCATTCCATCCTGATCTGTCTTTGTTTTCTATAACTTAGCAGGTGAATTCCATACAAACTCCAGACACCACCTGTTGATGGTATATTTCTCAAACCTTTTTTCAGAACCCAAAGGAAATAATGTATGGAATATCTGAACAGAAGTCATAAATTAAAGAATTGACCAAGAACTAAGAAATAATGAGTCTGATGAAAGTAGTATAGTTGGATGTGGTTGCAAATGCCTATAATGCCAGCACTCAGGAGGAAGAGACAAGAGGACAGCCTGGTCTACATAGTGAGTTCAAGGCCATCCAGGAGCACATGGCAAGACCCTGTGCCAGATGAGGCATGAACACTGAGCTGAAGGACAATCTGGTTGGTAAAGTGCTTCCTCTGCAAGTAGGGGAACATAAATTCAGCCTCCAAGGAAGAAGGAGAAGGAAGAGAGGCTGTCTGCTGATTATCTTCAGATCTGGAGACCGTCCAATACAGGTGGATCCTCTAGGCTCAGTGGACACCCAGTGTAGACTACCTGTGGAGCCCCAGACCATTGAGAGACTCGTGTCTTAAGAATCAAGGTGGATGGCTCCTGAGAAATAACATGTAGGTTTGTCCTCTGACCTCTGTGAGCATGGCAACACACACACACACACACTTGTACATGTACACAGACATGCAAATCACAATAGTGTCTTGTGCCTCCCTAACATAAAAAAAAAAGTGAAAAGTGAAGCCAGGAAGCCACAAAGGATGCTTTCACATGACTTCCCACTAATAAGTACCACAAAGGGATGGATCAGAATGCAAACTTCATACAAAGGACATCTATAGGAATGTATAACTCATAACCTTGTGTTCAACATTGGACTGCTACTATAATTCTTAATCATCATGACCAAATATAGTCATGTCAAAATACCTGATAAATTAGCTTCTTGTTTTTACTTCCTCTGGCCTCAATCTCTGGGGCTATACCCAGTTTCATACGGCACACACATATAGCAGTATTCCACCCTTCCCAAATAAATACCAGTGTCCCTCAGAGACTCTTTGATGGTGTTTTATTTAGTTTGACAGCTCATAAGATGACCTGAAGAGGTAAAACTAACCTTTTCCTCCTTAGCTAAGCCTGGGCTGGTCAGGGGAGGATGGCAGTCTCAGAAGCCTGTAGAAGATTTACATGTTTAAAGACCAGGCATTCCCAAAGATAAGCCATGAATTACAGGCCACTGCAAAGCCTTGCAACCACAGATAAGCTATGATCCTCTTTTTCCTATTACTGGAGACATGGCTTTAAACCAGAACAGGACTGTCAACTCCTATGTAATAATTTGAACTATAAATATAGCTTTTTCTATTATTCTGGTAGCTTAGCTGATTTGAACACTTGCTTCAGGCCAACAGAGCCCAGCTCAGTGATCAAAAATTGTCTGTGTATGAGTTTTATTGGAGAGAGAGAAAGATAGACTTCTTATTAACAGAAATAAAAACTGAATTGAATAGAATAAAAATAAAGAGATGAGTTCTTATGTATTATCAATTAGGTAATTGTTTTTAGAGGTCTGGGGGAAAAAGGAATTAAAAATTAGATACATATTTCAATATCATTTAAAAAAAAAAAAACCCTAAGCTGTGTGTCAGGACCAAAGCAGTTAAAAATAGGCCAATAGCACAGCAGCTTGTTAGTAACTGCAAGGTTAGAGATGAGACAATGCCAGGTCAGCTTTTAACCAACCACAAAACTAAAATATCAGCAGACAATACATATGTTCAGGTATTTCTTCCAATCTATAACATTCACTATGAGTTTGGGGGCACACAAAGCAGCCTTTCACTGTCACAAAGTAAAAATTAATGATAATATAAATTAGTTAATTAGGTTTTCATCCAGAGTGGAAGTTTTGCACTTGTGAGTTCATCTTCATTAGCAATCCGGCTGGCTATAAAAATCCCTTAGGAAATACTCCTGTAGGTATGTTTATGATGGTGTTTCCAAAAAGGCTTAACTGTGGAGGGAAGACCCTGAATGTGGACAGCGCCATTCCACGGGTTGGGGTGCCACACAGAATGGAAAGGAGACAGAAAGCTAAGCAGTAGATTTTATCTTGCTCTCCTGACTGCTGACAGAGTGTGACCAGTCGCCCCAAAGCGTGAACCTATTTCCACGTTGTCTGAAAGTCAGGGGGTTTGAGGTTGCTCTAAATTGTTGACAACAACCAGGCCACATCCTAACCCAGGATGTGGTTACTTGGTTCTTTTGACATCAAGATGGTCCATACAGGTAGATCCACTACAACCTGACAAATGGTCAGGAGATGCAAGCATACTTCTGCTCCTTCTTGTTTGACCTGGGGAGTGGCTGCCTTCAGGATATTTGGTCTAGAGTGGGTTCCCTGCCTAAACAACAGAATTTGATAAAGACTTGATATCTCAAGGTATTGACGCAATTAACTGTTCAAGCTGTCCTTTGTATCATCTTAAAAAAGTCTTTTGTTGCCTTCTTCCCCCTTTTTGTATTGGGGTATAAAAATGTATGGAAAATTAAATACAGGGGATTTTGGTATTCACTGAAACTCCTGACATTATCTTATGTTTCTCTTTTATTATTTTTACTTGCATCTTCATACTCTTTATTATTTTTCTGATCCCCATGCCCCTGGTAAGTTATATTTTTGTCGAAGCTGGTCTCTGACACTCATGCTTGGAGGTTTGTCTCCTAGGCGAACCCTGTCAAGTTGACAATAGTAACCATGACAATGTCTAAGCTACTAAATGTCCTCAAGGCAAGAAAAAATAGTTTAGAAAGGAGCAGACAACAAAACTCCTCATCCTTGGGTATTTCTGCTACCTAGGATATGAATGGGCTTAAAGAAATCTGAAAGTTCAGACAAGAGCAAGACGTGTTTATCAGGGAAGAAGGTCAAGAAACAGAGCAAGGAAGGCCAGTGAGAAGAAAATGTAATGATAGGCTATTGTGCCAACCACTCCTCCTCTGTTACTAAAACTGCCCCCAAGGCTTGTGTTAAAGGCTTTGAGGCCAGTCTATGTTCAGACTGAGAGGTGGTGGAACCATTAAGGGGTGGAGCCTGCTAGGAAGGAGTCAGGTCATTGGGATGTGCCTTTGAATAGGCTATTGGGACTCTAGCCTCCTGCTCCCTGTACATCCTGGACACCAGAAGGTGAATGACTTCCTTTGTGTATTCTTCCCCCATAAAGCACCCACCTCAGACCTAAAAGCAGCAGAGCCAGCTAGCCTTGGACTAGAGTCTCTGAAAGTTTCAGTATAAGTCTTTGCTTTTTAGAATCTGTTTATTTCAGAAATTTTGTCACAACTGATGCACCAGGAGACCCGTAGACTTCAAAAATTGATCGTCTTCTACAGGGCAGCATTTAAAGAGTGAGCACCAGCTACTCCTCACTTGAAAACAACTCAAGGGCAAGAGCTTGACAGTAGGCCCAGGATACAAGCTGGCTTCCTTCCTCCTCTAACCCATCTGGCTTTGACCTTGGGAGCAGTGGTCAGCACAAAGGTAAATCAGGCTGCCTGGAGCTGACAGAGACGGAAGAGCTGTGATGTGTTTCTGCCCACAGAATCCTTCTACAGCCCAGGCGTGGCAGCAGACACAGGCCAGAACTATAAAATCTGATGGCTGAAGTCCTTCCAAAAGTAGCCTCCACCGGATGGTCTTATCAAGTAAGATTGTATATGACTTATAGGTTCCACATCTCTCAGCTATCAGTTAAAAATAAATTAGCTTTTACTATTACTGTGAGAACTTTATACCCTAGGCAGAGTTTATTACGAAAATTTAAATGAACCCTATCTATATAACAGAATTCATCCTCCAGAAAAGACATATTTTTCTCAAATGATAAGGTAGAAAACATTCCTTACACAGAAAGGCCCAATATTTAAGCCATTTGCATATGGTGATACATTTTATATTAAAAACATAAATACCACATACCAAAAGTTAACATTAAAATTAAAAATATCTTCAATCTTAGAATTAGAAAAATAATTAACATCTTGTAAATAAGAGCTCGGTCACATTTCTTCCCCTAAACAAACACATAACTCAAAATAAGAAAGCCCAAAGCTATTGTTAGATGCTACAAGCTGGGAACAGTAGCAATTCTTCCAGGATGGGGGCAGAAATTACTGAAAGCACCAAATGGTGGTTAGAATCAACCGTCTCTTGAACTTACCCAGAAATGAGCATCCTATAGTGCAAGGCAGAAAGAATTCTCTGGTGGCTTGGTGTGCTCAGAATGTACCGAGCTAGAGAGACAGCTCAGATGGGAAAGTGTTTGGCATGCAAACATGAGAAACTGAGTTCAACTCCCAGTACCCACAAAAAGCCTAGCATGGCAGCACACACCTGTAATTAGTAAGGCAGAGACTGGAGGGTCCCTGAGACTTGCCAACTCGCCAGACTAGCCGAATAGGTGAGCGACAAGCCAGAGAGAGACTGCCTTAGTTAGTGTTTCTATTGGTGCCACGAAACACTGTGACCAAAGCAACTTGGGGAGGAAAGGGTTTCTTTGGCTTCCATATTTCTCTCTTTTCATCATTTTAATGGAAATCAGAACAGAAACTCAAACAGGGCAGGAACCTGGAGGCAGGAGCTGATGCAGAGGCTGTGGAGGAGTGCTGCTTACTGGCTCGCTCAGACTGCTTTCTTATCAAACCAGGACCACCAGCCCAGGGACGGCACTGCTCGCAATGGCCAGGGGCCTCCCACATTAATTATTAATCACAAAATTGCACTACAGGCTTGCCTACAGCCTGTCTTATGGAGACATTTTCTCAGTTGAGGCTCCCTCCTTTCTGAGGTATCTAGTTTGCATCAGGCTGACATGAAATTAATCAGTACAACTGTCAACTGTCAATGGAGACTACTTTTGTTTTCTGGACGCCCAGACCCGAATAATCACACAGAAACTATATTAATTACAACACAGTTTGGCCAGTGGCTTAGGTGTACTTTTAACTAGCTCTTACATCTTAAATTAACCCATTTCTGTTCATCTATGTATCACCACAAGGCTGTGACCTACCAGTAAGTTTCCAGCATCTTTCTCCTTGACTCCACCTACTCTTTCTATATATCTGTTCAAATTTCCCACCTTACTTTATTCTGCCCTGTCAAAGGCCAAAGCAGCTTCTTTATTAACCAATGGTAATAAAACATATTCACAGCATACAGAGGGTAATCAAATAACCCTTTGTCAACTTGACACACAAACACATCACACTTCAATTAAATTCTTTCCTTTTTCATTCATCCCCAAGATCTCACACTTAAAAATAAATAACCTTAAAAGTCCCACAGTCTTTACAAATTTAAACACTTTAAAATTAAGTCTTCATTTAAAAAAAAAAAATTTCAAAGTCTTTTTTAAAGCCTAAATCACAGCTAACGAGAACCACAGAATCTTAATTCAAAATAACAAATGTCCCTGATAGAGTCTTTAAATTTCACTCTGAAACATCACAAGCCAGGCCTCCATCAATAATCAATCTTCAATAATCTTATCTTCCAAGTGCCTCAGAACAGCTTACCAAGCCTTTAACATTCAATGGCTTTTGTGCACAAAGTTCCAAAGTCCTTCCGCAATCCTCCCCAAAACAACGTGATCAGGTCTGTCACAGAAGTGCCCCACAACCCTGGTGCCATCTCATCTTAGGGTTTCCATCACTGTGATGAAACACCGTGACCAAAGCAACTTGGGAAGGAAAGGGTTTATTTCATTCGCGATTCCATATAACAGATCATTATCAAAAGCAGTGAGGGCAGGGACCCAAACCAGACAGGACCTCAGAGGTGGGAGCTGATGCAGAAGCCATGGAGGGATGTTGCTTATCGGCTTTCTTCCCATGGGTTGCTCAGCCGGCTCTCTTATAGAACCCAGGACCACCACCAGTCCAGGGATGGCACCACCTACAACAGACTGGACTCTCCCACATTAATCACTAAATAAGAAAAATGCCCTACAGGCTTTCCTGCAGCCTGATCTTATAGAGGTGTTTTCTCAATTGAGGCACCCTCTACTCAGATGGCCTTAGCTAATGTCAAATTGATATAAAACTAGCCACTACAGAGACCCTGTGTCAAAGGAGGCAGACAGCGTTTCTGGAGACGACACTCGGTCCTCTGACCTCCACAACAAGCCTGTGCACGTGTGTGTACTCACACCCTTACTCAAACATACTCCACACATATATGCTTGTGCATCTTTTCAAAGTCTAACCAAAGGGGTTGGGGACTTAGCACAGTGGTGGAGCCATTGCCCAGCAAGCACAGGGCCCTGGGTTCAGTCCTCAGCTTTAAGAGGTGTGGGGGGGGGGATAGCCAAAGTAAATAAAGTTGTCATCTAACTGTGACACA